CACACACAGACACACACACACACAGAGACACACACACACACATACACATATATATATATATATATATATATATATATATAGTTGGATTTCGGTAAGAAGAAGAGTTAAAATGAGAAACGTAAGAGATGATCTCCACCATTGGATGCACATAAGGATAAGATGCACTGGATCCCCATATCAAGCGTGATTCATGGGTGAGTTTGAGATTAAAGGCGATCAAGGGTCCAGATCTCTGCTTACGTTTCTCATTTTAACTCACTTTCTCACATGATTTTTCGCATATATATATATATATATATATATATATATATATATATATATATAACAAAGGATCGTGTGAGAATATGAATTAAGGTGAGAAGCATAAAAAATCTTTGAACCCTTGACCACTTTTAATCTCACTTCACCTCATGAATTGCGCTTATCACATGACTGAATTGATCTGATGCATCTCGGTGCATCATATTAGTATTGATTTTCAACTTTGATTGATCCGAGAATGGAGATCTCTTGTTACCTTTTCTCACCATGACTTCCCCCTAATGCAAAATAAATTTCCTTGACAAATTGACGTATGTAACTTTAAATAAATCCTTCTTAATTGTGTTTCAAACACATCAATTTCTATTTGACGGGGTTTATGAGATTCGTTTAGCAGACGGCTTGGATGATCCCAAATTCCTTTATGTAAAGCTGAAGGAGTACAAGTAGGTGGGAGCATGCACCTGGGACAACTCATTCATCATCGACAACATATTCTCCATTATACTAAAGCTAAATTAATTTCTCTATTTCATGGTTGTTATTTCTTTACAATGGATGTCAGGTTTACATACATCTTATCTTTCTAGCCTCCACCTCTAGATAGGATATATAGGACACATTTGGTTTGGCTTGGTATTCTCGTTCTAATTCTACTACTATTTCAACAATCCCAAACGACGAAAACCATATATTATACATGAAATGTGATGATGCACTCGATATGTTCGATGAAATGCTTCTTATGCCTTCAGTTAGCCAATTTATTCGTGTACAGACCGGATCCTCATGTTTTGTAAGTCCGTGATGATGATAAAATCCTTAAACAATTATTCTTCATTATTAACAATAAAATTGAATATAAAAGCATCAGAGAATATGTTACATATTATATGTCTAACACATAACACATTGCATTACTTTCATCACATATCATATCTTAACATATACTAATTAATATATGTTATTTTTAATGCATTCGTAATAACACGTGTTCACATATATGTAATTGTTTGCAAATGCATATGGATCTGATAGAATATGAAGTTTAGAGCGGCTAAATAATAACAAATGCAAGGTAAACTCGCCAGGAATTTACAAATAGTAAAAAATGCTATTTGCAGTAAAAACCATATCTTGTTATGTTATTTTAAATGGTGTCAAATAAAATATGTTATATGTATCTTAAAAGTCTTATTTTGTTATATCTAATTTTTAATACATCGATTTCCTAGAAGAAAATATTTCTAGTTGTTACGTATACGTACTTACTGTTGATTAGTCTACACTTCTTATCTCAAAACCAAAACAAAAATCTAAGTTACATATATATTTTTAAATAGATATCCCTAATAAACAAAGTTATGCGAGGGCCTTGTTTTTCTAGTGCAGGGAGTGCAAGGACATTCCACTCTATTGAATACGGTGGTACAGGTCACTACTTCGTTTCTTCATGATAATGTAAAAAACTGTAGGGTCATAAAATATGATAACGCATCATTTTGTTCTGTGCAATCATATATATTTTGAAACTACAATGATGATACAAGTTTTCCTTGATATAGTTAGTTTACATGGTTTTTCTTCCATCCAAGACTTGGATTTAAATTGCGTTTGCCATTTTTCTTAGTGTTTAACTATTAATTTTAGATTTATTATGTTTTTAAAGAAAATTGCAATAAGAGACTTGAACATAAGACTTCATGTATAAAAAACAAAAAATTAATCAATAAATAATGATGACTTTAAAAAGATATCCATATTTTTAATTTCTTTATAGGGAAATAATATTATGGCTTCAAAAATATCTTGGTTTGCCTGTATACTCGCGCCTTTGCCCACTTATCATGTGATTGGGGTGGGTGTTAAAACGAAATATTGTTCAACTCTATTTAATACGAATATAATGAATTTAATAGGGAATGTCGTGATCAATTCAACAGACAACAAATGAAAAAAAGTTGTCTAAGAGGAGTTTATATGTTGCGTAAGACTTAGGTAACAAACTCATGTTGCCTAAACAATGTTGCCTTCTCAATTTAGCATTAGAACCAGGGCAATATATGCAAACAAAATATGTTGCCTAAGCGGACTTCTTAAACAACATGCATAATATTATGTTGACTAAGTAAGAAACATATGTTGTGTAAGATATCAACTTAGACAGCATATTATATCTGCATATGTTGCATAAAATAAAGTATCGACTTAGACAACATAATCTATCTGCATATGTTGTCTTAGATATCATCTTAGACAACATACTATATCTAAATATGTTTTCTTAGATATCAGTTTAGACAACATACTCTATTTAGATATGTTGCCTTTGAACTGTAATTAAAATAAAATAATATTTCTTTTAGACAACATTTATATTGTTTAATTGTTGTCTAAGATTTTTGTGTACCATGATGCGTTTTTTTCTTACACACTTTCTACAAATGAATCTTATAAACAAGCAAATAAATATGTTTTCTACAAACAACTCTCGCAAACAAGCAGCCACATGTTTTATACAAACAATTTTTATACCAAACAAAATTAATAAGTTCAATAATTGGAAGATAATTTTTTTCCTAAATAAGTCTAAAAGTAGGCAACAAGTTCAATAACACAAAATTAAAAACTTAACCTAAAGTGTTGAGAGGTCAGGGTTGTCGAGTTAGGGGGTCATTTACCAAATACCTACCCGGTAAGTGTTTGCCAATAAAATTTAACATTATTTTATACTTACCGGGCAAGATTTTAGTCCACCAAAACGACATCGCATGCAACAATTTGCCCGATAATTGTTTACCATGGTAAGAATCGTCGTCCTCACTTACCGGGTAAGACTCTTGGTCCTTGTCTCGCTCTTACCAGGTAAGATTCTTGGTCCTTACCATATTCAGCTGATAAGGTAATGTGGTTTGGTAAACGCTTACCCAAGTAGGCGGTTGGTAAACGGCCCCTTAGAGTTTGAATCACTAGCACCCAACATAATCATCAACGATTGTATCATCTTTCTTTGCTAGGCGGCTTCCTTTTTTGCCTCATTTTGTCCCTCTTTTAGCAAGCGAATCTCCTCGTCTCGCTCAGCAAGTTGTTGTCGCAAATCTTCCTCGTCAACTGAAGATACCGACTTAGAGAATCCCTTCGCTGGTCCTCTCATCCTCGCAGGTTGAACCGCCAAGCTACCCGATAAGTGTTTACCATGGTAAGAGTCGTCGCCTTCACTTACCGGGTAAGACTCTTGGTCCTTGTTTCGCTCCAAGATTCTTGGTCCTTATCCGATGAGGTAATGTGACTTGGTAAACATTTATCCAAGTATGCGGTTGGTAAACGGCCCCTTAGAGTTTGAATCATTAGCACCCAACATAGTCATCAACGATTGTATCATCTTTCTTTGTTTGGCGGCTTCCTTTTTTCCTCATTTTGTCCCTCTTTTAGCAAGCAAATCTCCTCGTCGCGCTTGGCAAGTTGTCGCCGCAAATCTTCCTCGTCAACTGAAGATACCGGCTTAGAGAATCCCTTCGCTGGTCCTCTCATCCTTGCAGGTCGAAGCGCCAAGCTACCCATACCTCGAACAACCGTTCCTACCAACAGACCAACAATTTGCTCGATGATTGATATTTTTTTTCGATTGGGCAACGAATTAAAGGCCCGACAGATTCTAGAGTGCCATCAGAGACGTTCTTAATCTTCTCAATCTCTTCCTCAACAAGTTTCTGTAAATACGATTCAAACAATTGTTTTAATTACAATTATATATTTCACGTCAATCATCCCTCATTGATGAGTTAAAATGGTAAAAGAAACGAACTACATTAATGTGTTTTTATATTTTTAAAGGTTTGGAAAAGTTGGAACGAAAAAGGGATAAAAGAATAATTTTTGACAGCTTTGTGAGACTATGGTATTTCGAGCATATCTCACTTGTCTCAACTCGGATTTAAGCGATTAAATATAATCTGGAAAGCTAACGGTCCTACAACTTTTAAGTTTTGAATTTCTGTAAATTCAGGATGAATCTAAGCTAAAACGGACGTTAAAGGTGAAAAAATGATGCTGGACAGCAAAGGAAAACAATATACAAATCATGATCGCACGAAAATAAAAGTTCAAGTTTACTTACTTTACGGTCTTCACTTGTAGTGGTCTTGGCAATTGTACCGAGATAAGGAACCACGTGTCCAGTAGCTTCAAGGTTATTAGCCCTAAACCGAAACAAAGTTGGTCCCGATTTATGCTCGATCTTATTTTTTGACAACCTTGCTTCCGTCATTCTCTTTGTTTTATTCTACAACATGGAAACACTTATTTTACAATTTAAACTCAAAAAAAATAAATTATATATTTAATTATTTACTCATTAAATACCTATGTTTCTTTCTCAAAAAGCATGCACAAAAAATCTCACTGATTTGGCCGATGCACAAAGTTCATTGGAATTGGGAGACGACCTTACTTCTTATTTATAATGTGTGACAGTCAGTTTTCCACCTATTGTATGAGTGGCACGCAGTTAGGTGTATTCAATCAAAAAATGCGTCACCTAGAGGTCCATTCCAATCAATCTCAAAGAAAACCTGAAAAGCGAATACAAATCAAAATGAAATAAAAAGTTGAGCATTATTAATTAATAAGACATAAATCATAAAAAAAAAATAAGAACTAGCAATAAAACTTACGCTAAGTTGATCAACCACAATCTTGAGTTCATCTTGCGTAAGTTTTAAATAACTATCGATCAACATCAAAATAGACTCACGAACAATGCTCCCGATTTGCTTTGCAATCCTACAAATTGTGTCGGAATTTTTTTTTCCATGTTCCACTTAAGAGGAAGATGTTTATTTTCGTTGTTAGTGATGTCTCTCTTAATCGCCTTTCCGGTGATAATTCATCGTCTTGCCTTTTTTGTAACCGGTTCTTCCGTCAGTTCCACTTGGATGCGGCGACAATTGATACGTATATCTAGAGCAAGTGGCCCACTAGTAGGTGTGCTCGTCTCTGGTGATGCCAGTGTAGTTGGTGAGTCCAAAGACGGAGGTTACAATTGGACGGAAGGTGTCGCCTCTGACGAGATCTCTACCGAATCACCCTCTAGGCATGTTGTAGTCTGCCCGAAGACCGACGCCTTCGCTAAATTAAACGCTTCAGTTCTTTTTGGAGGCATATGGATCTAAAAAAAACAATGTTTAAATAAAATTCTTGTTTATACATAAAACTTTGGATCGGTTTGTAGACCGCAAATTGAGTCCAAAAACGACGAGCATAAACCCCAGGTACGAATATCAGATATATTCATTATTTAACTCATAGGGTGGTGATCAATTCAACAAGCTTCTTTTGTACGGTTTGTACGAAAATGACATAACAAGGAAACAACCACAACCACAACCACAAATGTATGATTTGTGTTAGTAAGGAAAAACATCTCACCAAATGTATCATCTTCTCATAAATTGCATATGACTAGTCTTCCAAATAAATTTATCACCTACAGTAGGTTTCTCTATGTAAAAAAATCAAGAGGGTGTGTGTGTGTATATATATACATATTCATGTTGTGCATAATTGTGTGCCATTGAATGACCTGCAAATGTTATATGACAGATTTTCTTTCTATTTAATGACATATATATAATGGGAAAGAAAACTACAATCAAACAAAACTTGTTATGAATAGTTAAGTGTTAACTTTAAGTATATGCAAAGTTGAAACTGATGCACTTCCCCATGCAAATTTACTTGATAAAACCAACATATAGACGATATGTGATGAAACCAGAATCAGATGGTCCAGATTTACACTATCAAGACTTACCAACTAGTGATCATCCATGTGTGTGTATATACATGTATGCATTTATGTGGTCGAGTTTTAATCGAGGAAGCCCTTCAAGACCGTATTATGGGTCGGTTAAATTGAAGGCCTGAAGAAAGAATGTTGCTTTAGAGAACAAATCAAGTTGAATATTATTCTACTTGATTAAAGAACAACATGAATACCAATTAGATGGGAGGCATGATCAATTATCACTTGAATCCTCGAAAAATAAAATTTCTATTGAATCGATTGGGGACCTTGAATCCTCGATCGTTCGYCAGGGCAAAGGGACTCCTCTTGACTTTGCATGCTCCTAAGCTTCTAAATGAGGGGTTCCTGGTTCCATAAGACTTTCTCTTTCTCTTTTTTTAAGTGTTGTATAAATTTATCTATAAATTCAACAATACAAATTTTTAATGGGTAAAATAGACAATTTAAACAAATTCAAACATTTACAAAAAATAAACAATCTTATTGATTCAAATTTCAGACTTCAGCAGCACCTCTTATAAATCAAAAGTGAAATATGACTTCAGACTTCAACACCTCTTAAAAATAACAAACGCCACCCAAGAATCTATTAAAATACAACACATTTCTGGAGAACACATCCTAGGGCTCCTAAGAATCTATTAAAATACAACACATTTCAAGAGAWCACATCCTAGGGCTCCCAAGAATCTATTAAAATACAACACATTTCAAGAGATCACATCCTAGGGCTTAATGTCTCCAAACAACATAATGTATTTTCCATGAAGCCTTCATGGCTTCCGGATAAAATAGCATCATACAATGGCATCGTTCCTTGAATACCACATTGGTTGTATATTAGCCATTTTAATATTTCCGGCTGTAGCTGATACGTGAGTCTTTATCTGAAGTTACAAGTCTTCTTTTTCCACTAAACTCACTGGATTCAACATAAAAGCTTCCATTAGCTTAAATGAGGCTCTTATTCTGAAGTTCTAAGTCCTTGTTTTCCACCGGATTCACTAGATTTGACGCTTGATAGAGAGGAACACAAATCTTGGTGTTCTCTTTTCCACTTCCTTCAAGTATTACAAGAGCAAGTTAGTACTCTTTTCATCCTTTTTCCGCCAAACCAAGACGAAGAGTAACTCATAAGGACAATTCAAATCTACTCCCTCCATGCAATATAAGGGATATCTTATTCAATACATGAACACTAGGCAGATTATAGGTTGGTTTTCAAGATTGAATCAGTGAAAATTGTCATTTTGTGTATATATTCTCTTTAAGTAATGAAACACTCCATCTAATTTGATATGAGAGTCCACAAAACAATCTTTCCACAAATGAACCTAGGCCAAATCTGGTATAAGATGGTTACTCAACAAGTGCTCATGGTTAACCTAAACAGGGGTAACTGCTGAAAAACCAGATTCAATAAAAAGTTGGTTTTTTCTTGAAATTGTTTACCTACTCAAATGAGATAACTAACATGAACTTAAAAAATAGTCGATTTGGGCATGAGTTAGTGTAGGAAAACTCTATATGCCATAGGCTAAATCAAATCCTAAAGGTGGGTTTTCCCATGGTGTCACCATATACCAATATGCTACCAGCACCAAATGAATGATTGACATAACGACTACTTTTTCAGAAATGGAAACAAACGAGGAACGGACAAAGATCCAATCACGGATTAAGGCTAAACAACAGGAAACATATAAGAACAATTTGCTAGAATACTTACAAAAGATATCAGCTACTACACAGTTCAGGAGAACCCAAACTTCAACGCATTTCAAGAGAACCCAAACTTGATTCTGAATGATCCTAGAATCATTGATCATCTTCTGGGAAGCATGATGCGGATACTTCACTATGTTATGTTTTTCAAACAACGCACCCATATACAGCGGCATTGTTAGTTGATTACCAATGATATCCACTAATATGTACTTAATCGGCATAAGCTGAGCCATTTTTGCACTTCCATGAGTTCCATCTGCAGCTGCTAAATAAAACAGAGCTTAAGTCTTACTTTCCAATCAATTCATCACAGTTTGCACAAAAACAAGATATAACAGATATTTTGTTCAAAACGTAAAAACTAAGCGGATCATAAATTGGTTTCCAAAACAAGATCGCTCGAAAAATGCTATTTCCATATTCTCTATGGACGATCTGCAAACAGAAGGCGCATAGACAAATGAGTTGCTAGAAGAATTTATCATTAAGTAGATCAGCAGAAGGTAGACCTGGTTCTGATTTGGATCTGCGATTTGAAGCACCGGGAATCTTAACCGGATGTTCCTGTCTTATGGCATTCATGTCACCATTAGAGCCCAGGTGCATATCAGTCTGACTCGTCTCTCCGCTGCTTACTGGCAGGCGAGACGACGGCGTCAATTTGAATACACCACCATTCGGAAAGCATCGGCGGATCTGAAAGCATCACTGCGTTTAGGTCGACGATTAGACACCGACTTTTATATAGAATTTGACAATTAGGTCAATGAATGACTAAATTACAATAATGGTCCCTAAACTAACTACCAACATACAGTTTTAGTTCTATAACTTTTATTTATTCAAGATCTACACTTCAATATTAAAGGTTACAGCTATTCGTCCTTAAATATTGACTTAGGGGCTGTTTGACAATTGTTGAATGGTTTGGTGTAGAATGATTAATAGGCTCTCATGATATAGTACAAAATGAAATATAATTATTTGGTAATTGTGTACAATGAAATTAGGGCTCTTAATGGTTAAGGAAGATTCAAGATACAAAATCATTCTGAGAGTTTTAGAACCATTAAGAGACAGACTTTTTTTTGTCAAACAAGATTCACCTCTTAACGATTCAGAATTTGCCTCTTAATGAAACTATTAAAAAGTAAACAAACAACCCCTTAATTTTCCAAAAAAAATATTCTCAACCCAATCCAATATTAAAATGTTACCTTATATTATATAAATGTTGTTAATTTAAATTCTTATAACAAAATTTTATATAATATTATGGTACTTTCAATTTAATTGACAGAAACAACAAATAACAGTGCCTTTTTTCTCAAGTATTAAATTTTAAAGATTTTTCTAAATTTATTGAATTTAATTTCTCTCTCATATGTTTTTATTTAACAGAAATTTGTATAGAATATGTAGAAAATAATAAAAAAATCTCTCAAATTATTCTTTTTTTTATTTTAGATAATATATTGAAAATGTTCTTAATGACAATTAAAGGCAGATTTATTGCTTGTTGGTAGGGTCTTAAAATCCCAGCAAAACCCACAAAGTTTTTTCAAAAAGAAAGAAGACAAAGGTCTCCAACTTGATATTTTGATCCTAATTTTTAATCGGTTCACTTGCAGCAAAAACAAATAGGATGTAAATGAGTCAAGATTCAAACTAGCTACTCGATTGTGAACAAAGTATGAGCCTGTAAATGAACATCGAACTCAAGCTCGATAAATCAAAAAATATTCAAACTTGAGTCATACATTGAAAAAGTTATTCGAGCTCGAGCCTAGACCAGGTATAATTTTTTTGAGTCGAGCTCGAAAAACTTAGTACTTATTTGACTCGTTTACATCTCTACACTCGAACACAACCGACAACAATACTCTCATCTTTGACTCCAAAGTCCAAACAAACGACCGCTCACCACTAGTCGAATTTTGTTTTAGTGTGTAATGAGTTCATTTATTTTAGTTTTAACTATATAGAAAAACATATAAATAGTGGTATAATGTGTCAGTCTAACCAAAATACTAAAAATAATCAAATAAAAAACGAACCGAATAAGCTATCTTTATCCGATTAACCAAACCGTTTAAGCCAAAAAAAACCTGAAAACGTTTTTTGGATATACCATTGATGACAATCATCCAGTGAAGAACTGCTTAATTATCCAAACCGTTTAATGTAACAAATTATTATTCAAAAATATATTGAATGGAATATAGAAATGCCACATCAATGATCAGAATAGTCTATACTATATTATAAGCATTTGACAAAAACTCTTAAAAACTATTCTTTATGCATTAAGTACTGTTTATTGATGCATATTACTTAAAATTCAAGTTTACAAGTAAAATGTGCGTGTGTGTACAACTTATTAAAGCTCCATATTTGAATTCGTATAACTAACTGCAAGTAAACATGATCAAATACTAGATAGGTATATCATTTTAAATATAAAAAATCTAAAATATATTTAAGATAATCCTTGAATTTTAACAAAATACTAATTATTATCTTTATAAAAAAAATTATATTACTAAACAAAAAATAAATGACTTCATTATTAAATATAACTTAAATTATAATAAAAAATTGAATTAAAAAAGTTACACAAAAACAAACAAGTACTAAAATTGATATATATTTTTTTAAATTTTTATGATACCTTTAAATTTATATTTTATTCAAAATTTAAAAACATTACCGTTTTTACAATACTATATAAAATCGTATTATAATATCGATATAGACAGAATAGAACAAAACATTAAAATTAAGACGTATCTCATATATTACACGAGTAACCTTCTGATAACAAATTAATATGTACAAGACATCAAACAAATAAAAAAACAGACCCCACCCTTCCACTTTTCTTCCCCAAAACATCATCGTTGCATCTCCGGCCTCCCCCTACCGCTGAACTCCCTCAAACTTCCAAATTTAAAATCCCAAGAACAAGCATCTATTTCAGTTCCGAAGGAGCTGTGATGGCGTTGGACGGCATCGGTGAGTGGAACTCCATAGTCGAGGTTGAGTCGAAGTCACGATCGACGAGACAGTAACAGTAAGAGGTGGTGTTGATCTGTGAAGGGAAAGAAAACCAGCCGCCGCAGAGCCCTATCAATCCAGCGGCTCCAACGAACAATCTCCTTCGTTATTATGCTCACAACCCATGGCTATATCCTCCACAGAACACCAGAGTCACTATCTCCATCATGAAATCTCCGATGGTGTACGATCTATCTCAATAGGAACCTCGTACATACACGTGTTATTCCTGCATTCAAAAATATCTAGATACGGACATTGGTTAGCGTCCCATGTGGACATTAAAAATAGTCTAATAAGTAAAAAATAAACTTCAAACTAAATCGAAATAACTAATTTATTAATATTTTCAATTGCACAAAATTGAATTAGCCCAAGCCCCGCAGTTGAGCAGTTGAATAGCATGTTCCTGAATATTCGCCAAGGGCAATAAAGTCTATTCCAATGATTCTTTAGTCTGTGATCCGCTAAAAACTACTCTCCGTACAAAATTTCGGGAAAACCCGCTTCCATTTAGTAAGCTGAGGGTGTGTACTTTTGTAATGCGTGTGATTCGTTTATCAGCATATCGAAGCCAATCGGAGAGAAGAAGTTTTCTTGCCGTGAAAGTTTTTGATCGGAGATGGGACGGAAGTTCTTCGTCGGCGGCAACTGGAAATGCGTAACTACTCCTTTATTATATCTATTCGTCAATCGCACGTTTTTTTTTCTTTCTTACATAGATAACTTGAATGTATTATGTTGATCTGTTTCGAGTTTCTTTTTCTCATATCTGTTTACCGTTCCATTTCACGATTTGCGACAGTTCGTTGACAAATTTATGAGCCTCTTTAAAAGCAACAAACAGTAGTCGTATCTATCTCGATCGTGTGGATTTGTTAATCGTTTTCAAATATGTAATTAGATTCTGAATGTACTTTCTGGACGATTCACGTGATATAATGTTTGTTTTATGATTGTTTAGTAGATGCCGAGTTTTGATTTTATCCCTCGGAGGAAAAGTAATTATATGATTAAATGCATATTCTTCCCATTAGTTTATTATTTATATAAGAGAGAAAGTGATGGATTTTATGATTGTAGGATACATGTTAGCTGGTCCATGTCATATAGCCTTCAAATCCCTCTGCTTTTTATTGATATGAATTAGGAACTAAATTCTTTTTGTTGATTAGTTGATCTGACATCTTTATTGTAGAATGGAACTTCGGAGGAAGTTAAGAAGATCGTGTCAACACTTAATGCTGGTCAAGTTCCATCTGGGGATGTTGTAGGTAAGCAGCTCTAGTCGATTACTGAGTCAATATTTTGGCATCATGATCATTCTCCACGAAAGGAGTGTAATGTGATGCAGCATTCATGATATCTGCAACCACATTGTCAGAACTCAGAAGTTCAAACTCGAATTTCTTGTTACATATTACATCCTGATCCTATAGATAGTAACACTGTAACAGTATGGTGTTAAAGATGTCTGTCCTGTCTTCTCATCACCAAGTGTAAAGCAGGCATCATGATCGCTGTTATAAATTTCTCTTTGAATTTTAGTAAGGTATTCAGATCTTGGTAAGCTATGTGGATTTCATATTGTCAATTTTTGAACTCACTACAGTTATCCAATTTTGCAGAGGTTGTGGTCAGCCCTCCATTTGTATTTATCCCTTATGTTAAAAGCGAATTGAGGTCTGAATTCCATGTTGCGGCCCAAAATTGTTGGGTTAAGAAAGGAGGAGCATTCACCGGTGAAATTAGGTATGTTTTTGTACATTTAATCACCATTCTTGGCAAACAAAGGCATTGACCTCACTCTTTCAAACTGGTTTTGATGGTCGAACATTTGAAGAAAATGATATGAATGATTCTGTTATCACTAGCTTATTTAGACATTGAATGCAATTCGTTATCAAAATACTTCATCATTCATGCGACCTAGTCATTGCTTTTCCTTTTGCATGGAAGTCTTTGTCTAAATACCTCTTCATTCATGTCAATAGAGATTGTTTTTCTTTCACTTTATAATTTGAATCCAAATTTCTTGTCTATTTTCAGTATCTTCCTAGTCCTTTTCATGAATTTCTTTCATATGACCATGTTGGTCAGTTCCCATTTTTATGATAGTTGTATTTACGGCGTCTCAAATGTTTAGCTGGACGCATTTTCCTTCTTGATTTGAGATTTTTGTTGTATATGCAGTGCAGAGATGCTTGCCAACTTGGGCATCCCTTGGGTCATCATTGGTCACTCAGAAAGGAGAGCTCTATTTAACGAATCCAACGAGGTACTTTGTTCTGTGAATTCTTCATGCCAATTTGTTAGTGCAGGTGTAATCGGCTTATGTTTTGGCTTTCAAAKACATTTATTCATCAGTTCAGTAACTTCTTTTTCAGTTTGTTGGAGACAAAGTTGCATATGCACTTTCTCAAGGTTTGAAGGTGATCGCTTGTGTTGGGGAGACTCTTGAACAGCGGGAAGCTGGAACCACTATGCAAGTTGTTGCTGCACAAACTAAGGCAATTGCAGGTATATCCTTCAAAACTATTCTTGCTGCTGCTACTTCACCARTAGCTACTTGTAGGTGACAGGAAAATGATTACAGGTCTTGTTTCRTTAACTAGGATGCCTATGTAAAATGTTTCTTTTTTTACAATATTAAAGTAATAAATGGCTAATATTTTTTTTTTATGTTTTGTGCTTTATGGTAAGTCGCTAACTTTAGAAGACATGGCTTACAATGCTCTATCTTCATTTGTCTTTCTTCTATCAAGATACATGCTCTATCAAGATCAAATGTTAAGAAGCTAAAAAGATGTCATGAACAACACAAACAGTTTAATCACATAATGTCCCTGAACAATACAGCTATGATTTTAGAAATGAAATAATGTGACCTCATATATGTCTCTGAATTAAACCACTCCTCAGAATTCCTTTTTATWTTCTTTTGTTGATGCGTGGTATTGTGGGGTTACTAATTTGATCCTTCTTAATTGGTTGATAGTCCCTTTCGTCCATCCCTTCCTCCATTCTTCTCTTACGATTTAAATTAAGTTGTCCTCATCTATAGATATCTTACGTCAAGAAAGGAGATTTTAAGGCATTTCTGGATTATTCAATTGGAATTTTAAGTTGCTTTATCAACCAATGTGCTCTTAAGCTAATTTCWAGATATATCAGCTGTCTCCCTACGTATTAAGATCTCAACTTGTTTAAATGTTGATGCTTACAAGTGTTGTTGCTTATCCTGCTTTGTTCTGTTTCTGCTTCATTGATTTCACATTTTCACTTCACTGTTTTATTGATGTATGATTCAGTTAATGCTTCAGACTGGAAGAATCAAAGTTGAAAATTCTCTTCCTTTATTTTCAAATCACTTCGCAAAATTGAACTCATTTAAATGCTAGTTCACAGCAAGACCCCCTTTTGGTGTGTTTGGGAAAACATAAATTTGTTACATCTAGTCATGAACTCTAGACGCACATCTTATCTCTTAATTTTGTGCTAAAACTGGTGAACGTGATGTCTCTGTTTGTGATGGACAATTTGTAAATTTTTTATTGCAGATAAGATCTCAAGCTGGGATAATGTTGTCCTAGCATATGAGCCAGTTTGGGCTATTGGAACTGGAAAGGTTGCCACTCCACAGCAGGCTCAAGAAGTGAGTGGATCACCAATTTCTGCATCCTAATACACTTTCATGTGAGTGTGAAAAACGATTAGGAAGGTCACTGCAGATATGTTCAGCAGCAAGTACAGCTTATATGCTGTAAAGAACACTTTTCACAGGATCCAAGTATTTCATGCATAACTTGAGTAATTACAATTGATAAACTGTGCAGTGACAACAAGCATTTGCTCCACCTATGTATATAAACATAAGCTTCATATGCTTGAAATTGCATGATTTATAAGTTCTAAGTGTCTCTTTGCCTGAATATAAATACGTGGTCCATCTTATCCTGTAAAATCTGTCACAATTGATTTCTGCATGCAAGTTAATTGTGATGCAGTTTTCAGACAAACTATATAATATGTTTAGAATATTGTTATCCATGATGAGTATGTGAATAGTTTAAGGATTGTAATTTAGTAAAAAATGTGGATCATAGTGGTGAAGTATGATGCCCTCATCTAAAGTACCTTTTATGTGGGTGCGTGTCGTACACTTAACACGGGACGGGACATGACTGGACTAGACTGAGGTAGGCAGATGAAAGAATTGTAAAAGTTTTTAATTCAAAATGGGTAATTTAGTAGTTTAGTTATCTTTTCCCAACTCTCTGATTTTTGTTCCACTCAGTCCTGTCCCAATCTAGTTGTCGTCAAACATGGGACAACAAGTTTCTATTATGTATATTTAATCCTGCATACTAAATGCATCCCAAAGGAAGAGTTGTTTGTTTAATGGGATCGTGAATGTATGCATAACAGGTGCATGCAGAATTAAGGAAATGGCTTCAAACAAACACCAAGGCCGAAGTTGCTGCTTCAACCAGGATTATCTATGGAGGTACGTTTTTACCAATCTTCCGTTATGCTCTTTTTGACCTTCCTATAATGCTAGAGGATCCTTCAACATCTTAGTGACACAACCATAAACACAATATCTGTGCACCAATGGTCACGAGCATGAACAACTCTTATTTGCAGGATCCGTTAACGGTTCCAACTGCAAGGAATTAGCTGGGCTACAAGACCTGGATGGTTTCTTAGTTGGTGGGGCTTCTCTCAAGGTAAATCAGGTCGTTATTTGTCATTCCATCTAGCAAGTGTTGGCTTATTCTTACTTCTTTTTTTATGTATTTTCTTTTTGTAGCCTGAATTCATGGACATCATCAAGGCTGCTGAAGTGAAGAAATGACTTCTGTTTATACAGCCAAATTTGACCCCTTATCTGAAGATCAATTTTATCCAACTCCATCAAATTGTGGGAAGCTACTTTGCTCTTTCAAACTGTTCATTTGTTAGTTTTTCAGTTAAATTTGTTTTAGCAAATAAGCCTAATAAAATCTAATATTTGTTTTATAATTGGTTATTATCTTCATAGCGATTAGTCCAGGTATAGATAAATTAACCGGAAAAAAGAATAAAGAAAACTAGGATGGGGATGTACACCGGATGACATAGGCCGCCATCATGGGTGGTGGAAGGAATTGTTTCTGAAAGATACCCTTCTTTCGAGGTTGGAATAAATAGATTAAGACCACATATTTTGTATTATTTTTATAAAATGTTATATTATTAAATCAAAAATAAATTATTTCATTATTAAACTTAAATTATATTATAATAAAAAAATAAATTAAAGAAATTACA